ATTACATGTTGCTGCCTAGGGAATTGATTTTGGAAACATTACACTTACCAGCTGACTTATCAACAGTGCTCGTAGAATTGACACCAACTTAAACGTAAGAATCCCTCCAGAAAATAGAAAAATATGCTACTACTGCCATCTGTAGTTTATGCTTGAATAGCTTCTCAGGTGTAAACAAATTGAAGGTGCACAGTTGGCAATTAGGACCCAAAGACCTTATTAGTTTAAAGATACTTTTTAAAGTTCACTTAATATAATAAATTGTAGCATTTATTTACTATATATGATAATAAAATTGTCATATATTGTACATACAATTGTATATCATATGCTGTTGGCATTGTAGCATTTATTTACTATACAACAAAATTGTTTCAGGGACACTTTGTTGTTCTTTGTGAACTTACTATATAATGCTGAAGGGGACAACCACAAACTACCTTGAATGAAAATGGTTACAATGCATAAGGGCTAACTTTTGTTTTCCCCAAATATCCACACTCCTAAAGAAATTCAAAATACTTGAATGCTTCCTGTGAATTTTTAATTAGGATGGTCTTCTCTTGAAGCAGTGATTGTCAATATTAAAACATTCCCAAACATTTTATAACAACAAATGTATTTTTAAAGAAATCCAGGAAGTTTCTACTTAAGAGAATTTGGTCAGTTTGCTCACTTTAAGACAAAATTTTAAGGTTCAATTATTCCTATAATTTTTTTTAAAAACAAAAATTCCAAAACGCAAATGAAGGCTTAAGGTAGGCTTTTTTCACAACTTATTTTCTCTCGGTTTGCTTTCTCAAATGACAACCACTGTAGCTTAGGGATCAAAAGATTTGGTGCAGCTGGGGGTGGGGTAAAAAGCAATTCAGTTCCCCCACAGCCAGCTGAGGAAATCCTGGTTCTCTCCCCAACTAAATCACTGTTAATCAGAATTACCGGGTTACATAGTAAAGTCGTATTTAAATAATCATAACCAGAGGAAAAAAATGTTTTCTTGAGAAGCTGTTCTACGCATGCTACCTTTTAGCAGCAGATAAGGAAATAACGAAATAAAGTACAAAATGTTTTATTCGTTAAAATAAAGTTCTCTATTCTACAGTTATTTCTCAACCACACTGAAAGGCAGGTTAGACACAACAGTTTTTTCTTATTTTCCATTATGAAGGAAAATAAGATCTAACAGCCTTATCTTTTTTTTGTAAAGACAAGCCATGTTGGAAAAACAAGCAATAAATAAATAGCAGACCAGACTTGATTCTAGGAGTACTATACATCAAAGTTACATCCAGAGATGTTTTCTTAAATTTAAGATTAAGCTCAGATGAATCTGAAACATCAGCTCAACAGAAGAAAAGGAATTACCTGCTCAGTCAGTACTTCTTGCCGACTTTTAATAATTCTGGTTACTCTAAACCTTGTTATCAATCAAAGGCATCCATAAACCTTTAAGAAATTACCTGAGCCAGGAAAAGCTTACATTAAGAATGCAAAAGTTTAAAAAAAAATAATTTTTCACAATTTGTTGGTTTTGTAAATATTTTCAAAGTATAGCAGAGTTGGGTGTATTGAACCACTACTTGTGTGGGCATATTCAATAGCTACCTTCTGTTTAAAATTGTTTCAGGGACACTTTTATTCTTTGCTGAAATGCAAGCTTTGTTTTTATCTGTTGATTCAGACTTCTGATTTTTCTGATTATGAACCTTTTCAAATAAAAGATGACTAGTTTACACACAAAAAAGGAAAATATTGAACCAATAATTTAAATTCACTCTAAAAAGGCATCTTCACAAATTTAACTTTCAACTCAATTACATACATGGAAAAAATACTTAAACAGAGAAATGTCACTTAACTTGGCTACAACACACACACACAAAAATAAGAACAAAAAAATTAAGGTCCCCAAGATCTAGGCGAGTATGCTGAAAAGAAAATCTCCTATGTCAAAGGAGCAATCCTGAATTCTGAAGCCAGAAGTTGCCATCTGAACACAATTCATTAATTACTCAACACATTAATTACAACACGACTTACTCAACACAAACCAATAAATATCTACCTAATAATACAGATGAAACTCACACGGCCCCAGGTCCCAAAACATGCAAGTATCATTAGCAACTCAAAGCCAACTTGCATAACAAACACTGCAAGTGGTATAAGAAACTTCCCTTACCAATATCATAGTAGTTGGCATTTCTACCCTTCATCTTCCACTAACCTAAAATGAGGTATTTTAATCTAAAGTTTATTTTCTACCTTTGCTCCATAACCCCAGGAAAAAGGGGGAAAAAGTTGACAAACCAAGAAATTTTGAATAAAATATGGGGATGCGTGATTTGGGCACATTTTAGGAAATGTATCAATTTTTTTATTTGCTCCCCCCCCTTCTTCCTCCTAACTCCCTTTCACATGCACGTGCGCACAACACACCTTTTTGATATAGAATTCAGAATGACTTACAGATTAGGAAGCATATCATGATCATATTTTGATTACATGGAACAGAAATACTCAAAAAAGAATTTGGTGGATGGTAAATATAAGTTTGGAAATGTGATCATCTCACCTTTCAGCTGTTCAAAATCACCAGTGAGTCTTCAGTGTTCTTTGGAGGTCACAGAACCCAATGAAAAAACCTGTGTGCTGCTTGTTCTAAAGAGCGACAGTACTATAGTATGCTTTTTTTTTTTTTTAAATGAAAGAAAATTCTGAGGTGACTCAAAGTCAAAAAACTGAAGTTAAATGGTCACAGGAAACAGCTGTTAATTTATTTTCAGGGATAAACATTTGGATGACATGGTGATAACAGGAAAAAGGCATCCAATTATTTGGTGAACTACCATTTCTCCTAAATTGCTTGAAATACTTAAGTCTACGCCCTCATTCTCTTAAGATAAAATGAACAAATTCAATATTTAGCATATACTTCCTCAACCACTCATCTTCCTTTGAAACTCCAAGAGGGAGCAGTTCTCTAAATGAATTCATTTTTGTTATGAAAACCAACAAGCAAGAAACTGAAAATACCTAGCGCAGTTAGCACAGGGAACTCCTGGAAGGGTGATGGTGCATCAACAGGCTGGCAACTCTGTTCCGATAGAATAATGAAAACCATTTAAAAGACTGTAAATTCAGTATCAACAGGGCTTCCGGCAGGAAAATATATCTAAAATTCCACCTCCAGTTTATTTCTTCATGATAGAAACCCAAAGACCTCATATCAAAATAGCTATCTATTGCAAATATTTCATACAGAATGGAAATCAGTCGGTAGGATTTTAAAAAATGAGAAAAATCCATTTTCTCTGCTTAGAACTTAAGCAGTGTCATTTAGAGAAAAATCTAAACTGCTAAATATAAAAGAAAAAAAAAGTCCCCACCATTCCAGAGGTAAACTCTCCTTCCCCTCTCCTTTTTGGTTAAGTATTCTGTGAGCATATTAAGTGATAAGAGATAATGAACATAAACTGTAAAACAGGACACAATGCTCACTTTTATACTAAAAAATAAAACATCCCAACAGTCTAATGTTTCATGTATTTTCTTTTAAGCCCATCAAACTGTCAAAAGTCCCATGTGTTTTCAGCAAAAAGGAAATATTTTTAGCTCTAAATAGGACTGATGTAAAATATTAAAGCCACCTTAGCCTAAATGGATTGCTCGATAACATTCTTTTAAATGGTTCTGACCAATTGAGGAAATGAGACTATGAATGGGAAATTTGATTGAGTTAAAATTACCATTGAGTTCTTTAAAATGTACTAATGAATAATTAATAGTAAATGCAGTTCCTAGGCTTCCCTTACAACAATATTCTCAAGTAGAACTGAAGTCAAGCAAAATCCATCATCTGTATTATGCACAGGTGGACAGAGGAAGTATACACACACAGAAAGACATTATGAAAATACACTAATGTGGGCTGTAAGACCTGGGGTTGGGTAAAAAAAATACCGGCATGGGGAATTTGGGATCAGATTTGCAACATTCACACATTAATACAAAACCAAACCTCCATTTTAAAAGCTTATAATGTCAAAAGCATTTTTTTTTTAATCCTTTGTTTTTATGATACTGACTCCTACCCTAACTGGATTCCAGCCTCCTTTGTGACACGGGATTTTATTGATCTCAAACATGTTCACATTCAGAAATTAGTCTCCAAAGACATCCCAAGGGACTGCCAACCACCTAGATACCACACATCACAGACATCTTTAAAAAGGACAAGAGCTTTGAAAACATATCACTATTTGGTCAGCAACATCAAATTAAGTTAACCAGGCTCTCCTCTAAACAGACTTTTCCCTTAACTGGTAAAAAGAGGTCTACTGAATTGTCAATAAATGCATGAAGGCTCAGATCCACCCCAAGATTCCTCTCCTTCGGTAGCTCCTCATTCATTCAACAATTGAGTGTGTAAGTGACCTATATTCAGGTTACTGTCCTCACACCTGCCAGGTTACTGTCCTAAGAAACTTCTTGCTGAAGCAATTAATTTTTAGTGCCTCCTAACTGTCCCGGGTGTTTGCATTCAATTTGAAATCTGTTACTTGTTAGACACTGTCCTAGATCTTTCAGAGAATTGAGAGTTTATGGCGCAGAGAGGGGAGGAGGCAAGGTTCTCCGAAAGCCTGCCCTTTATTCGGAAATGAGATGTGAAAGGTGGAAGGCAGGGCAAATAAATAAATAAATCGGGGTTGCTGCCGGAGCGTTTGCCGGCCCGTACGAGCACCCTTTGTAATGCGGGCCTCCTGGGGCTATCGCCTGCGCTAATTGCTCCAGGGCGCTTTCCAAGTTCAAAAGTTCACCTTTTACGACCTCACAAAAGCTCCTTACACGTTACCAATAAAAACATTCCGCGGCAAACACCGAGGGGGGAAATATCAAACAGATACAAATAAAACGTCCCGCAGGGGGAGGGAGCCAGGGGGCGGAGGGCGAGCCAGCCCCAGAGACAGCCCCGAGGAACCTGAAGATTTGGCCCGGACGTGGGGGCAGGGGAAGAGCGGTCGGAAGGGCCGGGCCAGGTGAGGAATTCTCAGGGCTCAGGGTCCGGGATCGCGAAAGGGACGCGCAGAACTGAGGTGGGCGGGCGCGGACCCGGACCAGCCGGTAGACGTTGGGAGACAGGTGTCCCGAACACCCGATCGGGCCAGAGATCTGAGCCAGGAGAAAGTCGTCGCCTAACAGAGAAGGGGAAGGCGCAGAGAGAAACAGGACGCGGAGGAGGCACAAGAAATCGGAAAAGGAGAGGCTGATCGAGTAACTAGTGATTTGAGGGTCGGCGCAGAGGTCGAGGCTCGCAGTAGTCCGGGGCTTGGAGCGGGGGGCGGGGGCGCCAAGAAAAGTGCGGGACTGCAGAAGCCTCTCCAGAAAGGTGTGGGGCAGAGGGAACCAAGGGCGTGGTGCCGGGTCGGCAGAACCGGAGGGAGCGTCAGCGGAGAGAGCACCGAGGGGACTGGGGGGGAGGGGCTGGCTCCACGCGGAAGGGACGCTATGGGGGAGAGGCCCCCAACGGAGGGTACCGGGGCCGGGGGAGTAGGAAGAGGAGGCTGAAGCAGAGGAGACCCGAGGGGGAGAGGAAGCCCCCAGTGACGGGACGCGAGGTGGGGGGCTGGGGGAGGATCCGCGCTGAGGTGACCCAGGGGAAGGGGAGGGCTCAGCTCTGAGAGGACCGGGGGAGGGCCAGAGGGTCCGCGAAGCAGGGACCCGGGGTGGGGGTGGGGGTGGGGGTGGGGTAGGAGTCACACAGAGGGCCTGGGGGAGGGAGGACTGAAGGTCGGGGTAGAGGGAACAGGGAGAGGATCTGCGCTGAGAACGGGGAGGGAAAGGGAGGGTGCGCACTAAAACGAGGGAGGAGAGGGAGGGTCCGCGCTGCAGGGACCGGGGTGAAGGTCCACGCCGAGGAGACCCGGGGCCGCTGCAGCTTCCCAGAGTAATAGCAGGCTGAGAGCGGGGGTATGCCCGGGTTAGCGGACAGGCGACCGGTTCTTGTTCGGCCCAGACTCTGCACGCCCCTCACCCACCGTTGCGCGGCGGCGGAGGGAGCGCGGCGGGCGGCTCCAGGAACCCCGCCGAGCCCCCGCCGCCTCCCCCTCCGCTAGGCGGCCGTTCGTCCCGCTCCATGCGGTGCTGCTCAGGGCCCGCGCTCGGTTCGCTGCTCCGCCATGACTGGCGCCCTCGTCGTAGTCCGCCGGGGGGAGGGGGCTGTCAGGGGCCTGCGGGCTCCCGGCCACCGCGCTCTCTGGGGCCCGAGCCGCCCGGCTCCGCGCCCCTCCGCGCCGCGCCCCCTCAGCACTGGCCAGCTCCCTCCCCCGACGTCACGCGCCGCTGCCACGCACGGGCCTGCGGGGCACGCTGGGAATTGGAGTCCGCCCCGCGAGGCCGGCCACGCGGGACTCCCGCAACTAAAGGGGTGGGAAGAACGATTAGCAGCTCTGAAGGAGGGAAAGCCAAGGTCTGTCTCAATCACACACCCTAATAAAAACTTCTGTCAAAATTTAACAAGTATTACTTCAAGGCCTTTTCTTTATTGTGACTTATCCATGGCCATCTTTCCCTAGGCCGCCTCTTGTCTCCCCACCCCGACAATGAGTCTTTCCTAGGAGGTGGGTCGCCTAGGAACCGGGTGAGCACGTGCAACGAAGCCCGGCCCTGTAGGCGGGGCTCGGAGGGGGTGGAGTTTGAGGTATTTCTGAGGGTCTCCCTCCGCGGCTTCGGGACAAATTGGACCCGAGATTAAAGGGCTGGAGTTTAACTCGAGGTGACTGCGTTCGTATGCAAATAGAATCTATAAAACTCTGCTTTCCGGGGTACTCTTTAAAGGCTTTTACCTCCGGGTGGGCGGGAATGACTTAAGTTTCTCTTCCTCCTCTTTCATTTTCCGCTTGCCCGTTGAACAGAAGGGCAAACTAAGCTCCGGGCCATTTATGCCATTTAAGAAACTAAAGATTAAACTCCTGGTGTCTTAAGCTCTCGGTTTGAGAGGCTCCTTACCCATCGTTGTTCCTCTTCCCTTTTCAGCTTCCCTATCTGTAAAACGGAGTTGGACTAGGGACGGGGTCCAATGGGAAGATCCCAAACACCCTCCAACCCCGCGCCCCGCTCCCCGCCTCAGTTTCCCGGATTTTGTAAAGTCTGGGCTCTTCCCGGCTGAGCCCATCTCCTGTGGCCACCAGGAGGCGCGCGGCCATCAGCCTCTGGGGCCTTCCGGGGCGTCCGCCTTCGGCTACCCTCTCAGCAAAGGACTCATCGCACTGCCGCCCAAGGTCTAAGACCTTACCTGACCTGCTTGAAAACAAAGAACCAGAACACTGATGCCTTGCCCGCCTCTACTCTTTTGCCGCGGCTTCCTCACTGGCTGCTCGTTTCCCGCCCTCTCCCCACGCTGCTCCACCAATCCTTTGGCCCGTCTATGTCATTCCTCAATTTTCAGAAAGTCCTCACCCTGGCATTTGAGTCCCTGTCTAGTCTGACCTCTGCCCACATTTCTCATCACGCCCCTTCCCTCACCTGCTATGCAGGAGGTTATGCGACACTTCCCTGCGTTTGCGGGTTCCTTACCAAAGTTAGTTAACCTGTGTTGCACCCTTAATCTGTGTCAGCCACTGATCTGAGAGATTTACATTAATGCAATGTTGCCTGAACCTCCCACCCGTTCTGTGAGGTAGCTCCAGTATTGTCCCTTTCATTCACTGATGAAGTCACGTAGCAGAGATGGGGATTCCAGACATCTCCTGGGACACCATCCTTAATGTCTAGGTGACGTCTAGGTCCCCTCTGTTCCCTTAGGGTTCTGTTGAGTTTCCCATGGGCTGTGAGAAATGATCTCCCTGTGACTGCTTCCCCACTACCATTCCCCAGCCCCAGAGGGGGAGGAGAGCCCCTAGTGCACATGGTGGGGTGCGGGGGTCCTCTGAGCCACATCCTTAACTCAGGGTTCCAAAATGTGTCAGGACCAGAACTTCCTTTCTCCTACAGGCCTCTGCAGGCGGTGAGGAACCTGTCCTTGCAGATCTAACCAGGAGCTAAATGGCACTGCAGTAACCTCCTGCAGTCCTGGTGTTTCAGTGGTGGGCAAATTCTAAATTGGGATTTCAGTGGTGGACAAAAAAACTTGAATCTAAGTTCAAAGGTGGGCAGAGCCGTAGCTGGGTCGCTCAGCTGGTTGGAGTACCATCCTGATGCCAAGACTGCAGGTTCCATCTCAGGTCAGGGCGCGTATAAGAAGCAACCAATGAATACTTAAGTAACTGGAACAACAAATGAATGTTTCTCTCTCTCACCTTTCCTCTATCTCTCTAAAATCAATCCATTAAAAAATTTTTAATTAAAAAAAAAAAAAAGTGGGCAGAGAGTTAAGCCAAACAGGTCCTGGAAACAACTCCTCATCCTTCAGACCAGCCCAGTTACCTCTTGCTCCCAAAGCCTTCCTGGATCTCCCTGACTAGTCGAAGCCCCTTATTCTCTGTCACTTATCATTACAACTGCAACTGCTGAGCACAGGATTTGAACATAGACAATAAATAATTGCTGAGTGGGTGAATAAAACAGATATGACTTTTCTATGTAATAACTGATCTTGGACATTTTACCTCTGAGCCTCAAAGTCTGGTTTTAAGGGGTGAAGGATAATAATGGTAGTTGCTACCTCACAGGATTGTTACAAGAATTAAATAAGATGATGCATACAAAGCAATTAATATTAGGTCTAGCTAATAACATAACTAATGTAAAGAGCAGTCCTAATACCACTCTTCTGAAAATGCGTCTTCAGAGGACTGTACCACAAAATTGAGAAAGGTGAGGAAAATGATGATGTACTCATTCCCTAGCCACTGTCCTTTAATGTGGGCATGTGCTACATGCTTAGCACCTACTATGGAGCCTTCCCCCACCAGTGTCCCCCCCACAATCCTAAGAGGTCAATACTTTTCCCCAAATTTACAAATGAGGAAATAGGGGCTTAGAAAAACATGAAAAAGCCTCACCACCAGGACTGATGACTGAAGAACTGGAAAGGAAAGCACCTGGGGATAAGGAGGGATCTGTGGGGGAGTGGTCCTGAGGCCAGAAGCAGACAGGACGAGCCAGGGATACAGCTAAGAACAAGGCAGGTGTGAGCCCTGTCACGGAGAAGACAGACACTAATCAAATCAAGGAATCACATAAACCCACAACTGCACATAAGTGCTACAATAGAACATGCTTAGGAAGTTGCTGGTGCTACGGGAGTGTGCGGCAGGGCTCAGTTTGGTCTGGGGTAATGCTCAGGGGAGGCATTTTGGGATAAGGAGCATTTAAATAAGATGCGAAGAATGAGTAGGAGTGGGTCAGGCTAGGCAGAGAGAAAGATTCTCGGGCAGGAGAAGCGTGTGCAAAGGTCCTGAGGCCAAGTTGGATCTCAGAGAATCCATTATGACTGAAGCCCGCTGAGGGAGAAAGGGGCAGGAGAGGAGGGTGGAAAGGAGGAAACCAGAAACCCAGAAACCGTGGGTCCATATGAGAAACAGCCAGCAGGGGGCAGAGTTCTCCGGTGACATCAGCCTTGCTCTTCCAGGGCTCCCTAGCCAGAAAGACCGAGCCAGGCGGCATGGGGTGGAAGGGCTGGGAAAGGAAAACCCCTACCAAGTGCCATTTAAGTACGTATTGTCTACCATTTGAATAGTTAGGTCACACATTACAAAATCCCCTAGATGTAAAAAAAAAAGGTATTTGATGAAAAGTGAGCCTTCCTCTTTATTCTGATTCCCAACAGATGGTTCCCCTCCTTAGCCATAACCACCATACAGATGTATTGTGTTCATTCCCAGATAGTCTATGCCAGCAATTTTCAACCGTTTTCATCTCATGGAACATATAAACTGGTTACTTAAAATTCTGTGGCACACCAAAAAATACATGTTTTGCCGACCTCACAAAAAAATAGGTATTTTGATTCATTCATACCAGAGAGGTATTGTGTTGGTTGTTGTCATTTTTTTAAATTTGACATGCTAAGGAAAAAGAGGTCAGTGCCACAGACTAAGTAGTCAGGTATTGCACATTTTAAAAATTTTGGCAGCACACCAGTTGAAAATTGCTGGTCTATGCACATAAAAACACAGGTCATGTTTATTTTTTACACTAATCTAGCCCTGGTTTTGACGCCTCCCAGGGGACCTCTAGTTATGAAAGAAGCTAATTTGTACTGAACACCTAGGATTCTAATTCAACTGAGAGTTATGGAGCATCGGACCTTGAGCTAGGCTAATGGTTCACAAACCTTATATCCCCTGCAGAGCTTGCTAAAACACAGATTGCTGGACCCCACCCCTAGAGTTTCTGCTTCCTTAGGTCTGAGGTTGCAGAACCTGAGAATTTGCATTTCTAACAAGTTCCCTGGTGATTCTGAGGCTGCTGGTTCCCCAAACCACACTTTGGGGCCACTGACCTAGCTGCTCCCGCACAAAGTATGTGCACTGGCAGCCTTACTTCTCTCCCACAAGGGAAGGCACCAACGACACAAAGAAACACATACCAAGTAGAAAGATAATTTCAATGAGTGATCAATTCTATGTAGAACACAAAGAGGAGCCCTGGTTGGTGTCACTCAGTGGATTGAATGCCGTCCTGAGAACCAAAGGGTGGCTGATTCAATTCCCTGTTCGGGCACACGCCTGGGTTGCTGGCAGGGTCCCCAGTGGGGGGCGCTCGAGAGGCAACCACACGTTGATGTTTCCCTCCTTCCCTTCTCCTCTTCAAAAATAAATGACTAAAATCTTAAAAAAAAAAAAAAAAAAAAGGAAAGGAAAGGGATGTGCGTGAGTGGGTCGTGCTTGAGAGGAGTGGAGGGTAGCAACAGTTGTGGCACAAGTGTTCCTTTTTGAGCAGTTGAAGATTCGAAGTAAACAAGCACACAAGGGGACACGCTGCCGGGCTCAGGGGAGGTTACCTACAGAGACTGTGGAGAAGGAAGAAAAGGGGTCCAACCCCATCGTACCTGGGTGCGCAGAGGCGGAAGGACTTGCTAAAGTGACTGAAAAGAGGCCCGGGTGAAATACGAGGGATAATCCGAAAGAAACAGAGAGGAGAAGGTTTGAGAAGGAGGCGTGATCAAGAGCTGTTGATCGTGACAGTGTACAGGTGCCGTCTTGCAGTAGTTACAGGAAGTCCCGGGGACCCCAACAAAGCATATCCACAGTGAGCTCTAGGACCCGTGGGAAGGGAGTATTGGCAGGGAACCTGAGGAGTGGCGACTGCAGACGGCTCCTCAGGAAACTTTTGCTGCCCAGGAGTCAGAGAGATGGGGCGCTCTGTCCTGAGAATGCGGATTAGGGAGGGTGTATAAAAGGTAGGAGCTACGGCGGGGCGGGGGGGGGGGGGGCGAAGAGGGGTTGACGGGAAGGATCTTGGAGGGAAGAAGAAATGGAGCGCGCGGGAGAGGGGTCTAAGCCATTAGAAGCGTAAAGCTGGCCGTGCTCCGTGTTTCGAAAGTTCAAAGGCCCGCCTGCCCTGGAAACCGCACTCCTCTGACCTTTACACCGCTCCGAAAGGAAAGCACTATTTTCCCCATTTTACACGGGAGGAAACTGAGACTCAAAAAGGTAAACAGACACGCCCAGCGTGCCACACAGAGCAGGACTTCAGTGCACGTGGGGAAGCCTGTGCTCCTCTTACTGCCCCCGCTGCTCCTGCGGCTCCGAATTAAGTACCTTTTTTATGCCTGGACAGGGATGCCCTTTGGAGAGCCGCCCAGGGGCAGAGGTACCCTTTCCAGCTGGCCGCGCATGGCAGGGTGACCCCCCGCCCGCCCCCTAGCTCCGCCCCCAGCGGCGCGGGAGGGGGCGCGGGGCGGGGAGCAGCTGGCGGGGGGCGCGCCGCGAGGGCTGAGCTAGAGGCGGCCCCGAGCTCGCAGTGCAACCCGCGCTTCACAGCGTCCGCGCCCAGCTGTCCGTGCCCGTCGTGCCCGTCGTGTCCGTCGTGCCCGTGCCACCATGGCCGCGGCCATCCGCCCGCCCCGGCCTCTGCCCCTGCTCCTGCTGCCGTTACTGCTGCTGCGCGCCGACCCGGTGCGCGCGGAGAGTAAGGTACGCGCGGCCCTGCGCCGCGGGCGCAGCTCGTCAGGAGCCAGGCGCAAGGGGGCGCTGTGGCGGGGAGGCGGGTGTGCGCCGAGGAGGGTGCCTGAAACCGGGAGTGGAGGACCGGGGCAGGGAGGACCAGACCTCGGGCTTAGCGTGGAAGCCATTGTGGCCAGGACCCCGGGAAAGGAGCGCGTGGGGAAAGAGGCGCTGGAGATGATAGTGTGCTTGGGACCCAGGAGCCTCAAGAAGGGGTGCTGGGACCCAGTCCAGTGCGAAAAGGAGGTCAGCACCGAAACCCAGGACCAGGGGGAGGGGGCTCAGACAGGAGATGCAGTCCGCAGCCAAGGGAAGGGATTCCCAGGAGCTCGGGTAGCGGCAGTGTGGAGATCTGGCTCAAAGTTTCCATGGAAGGCTGATTTATGGAGGCAGACCCCGCGGTAACTGCTACCCAGCGTCTCCAAGGTTTGCAGCAGTCCCTGGGCCAAGGCTTTCAGGCCACGCTGGGAACCCAGAGTCCCTCCCCGATGAACCCATCTGGACTGGCCACGTGCCTGCCAGGGATCCCATGCATCCTCTAGAGGACACCGTGACTCCAAAAGTGACTTGAGCTGTTTTCCCCTGTTGGCTAAAAGGATCTGCCCAGGTGTGTGTCTAGCAGATCTGGGTTCAGATCCCCCCTCCACCTCGTAGCTGGGTGACCTAGGGTCTTCACCTCTCCCAACCTCTATTTCCTGCATCCTGCATTGATGATCTCTAGGTTAGGGAGGTCATGCCTGTTAAGTGTTAAATGTTTAGCACCTCACCTGGCATCTAGTAGGTAACCAATAAATGATACTGTGATTATGAAGTCTCCCCACAGGGACCCTGAAAGTGGGTGAGATCCAAAATGCAGAGAGAGCAAGCACTCAGAGTGTCAGAGCAGGGCCCCCTGAGGGTGTTCTGGAAATGAGCCAGTGAGGATGAGGACAGCACTGGAGTTAGGGAAGGGCAGGAGGGAGGGAGGGCCCTGCTCAAGGAGCATGAGGGCACAGGAGTGACTTTTCTTGAGGTCTCTCCAGCCTCTTTTCTGGATAGAAGGGAGGCTGTCCTGTCCACAGGCAGGTAAAAGTCAGGAGCCACCCACCACACAATAAGTATATGGAGCAGTGGGCATTGGCAGACCCTCAATGTGAAGATTCAGCTCACGGTATGAAGACAGGTGGGCTGCAGTCCTGACCACGTGCTCCAAAGACAAGCAAGGAATGAGTATCATTTCCATTTTATAGATGGGGAAGCCAGGGTGTATAAAGAGGCAGCTGGCTTATGAATTAAAACAAAAACAAAAAACCCCAAAACCCTAGCTTCTGGTCTTTTGTTGTTCTTTGACTGTGTGACCTTAGGCAAGTCCCTGCCTGTCTTTGGACTTCAGTTTCCCCATCTGAAAAACAATGTCTCCATTCCCTTCCATATAGGACCTTATAGGATTCCCTGACCTAGCTTAGGTGCTGGAACAAGTAAGCAAACCGTCTCCTCCCCGGCAGATAACCTGATCAACACTTTGCCCCTCATCTCTGGCTGGGAGGAAGATTTGGTCTGGGCATCCTTTGAGCAATGCAGAGAGTTGTAGAGCTTGTGGGGGAGGACTAGCATTCAAAACAAAAGGAAGACAAAGAAAACCCAATACCCTGTTTATGTAGTGAGTCAGTCAAACACTTGCTAGGTTGGGTGAGTGCGCGTGCACGTGTGTGTGTGTGTGTGTGTGTGTGTGTGTGTGTGTGTGTAGTTGTCCCAGGGCAAGATGGGGCTGGTGGGGCGGGACTCAGCACAGCCTTCCCCCAGGCACTTCCCACCCCACACTGCTTCAGCCAGCTGGGAAAAATAAAAATCAAGTGATGGGTGAATTTACTTCACATTCCTCAGCACAGCAGGACTCCTGCTGGCTCTGTAGAGAGTTGTTTTCATTATCACCCTCTCCCTCCCACATAACAATCCTTCCTTTCCAAGCCCGTCCTATTTTCCCAGGTCGCGTGGAGCCCTTGGAAGGGCCAGCCTGGGACTTGAAGTTTCATTTAGGCTCTAAAGGGTTAAGCTAGCCCCTCCTCAGGCTTTCTGCTTCTGCGAGGTCCAGGCTCCTCTCTTGCCTGTACTTTCTGGGGTATAGGGGCAGCTTCACCCCAGCTCACCACAAAACTCTGCAGCCTGCTTCTTGCCCAGTGTGTGTTAATTTTGTGTTTATAGCAAGGTCTCTCCTGAATAGAATTTGAAGTTTCCATATAAGGAAGCACTTTGTCCAGCTTGGGACTAGGAGAGGGAGTTCACAGCATCCCTGGCATTTCTGAAGGGCCATCCAGCATGGAGGCTGGTTGGATGGGTAAGACAGGTAACCACGTGAAACCCAGCCATGGCACTAGAGACCTCTGGGAGCTTGCTTTTGTGTTCCGCGTCCTTGGAATGTGGCTCATTCCCCATTTGTACCTCAGTTTCTCCATCTGTGAAAAGGCTGCTGGTGCCTCGCTTCCTCCATGCATTCAGATGTGAGAAGGGGTCTTCGGTCAGCCCCCGCACTGGGCCTGAGGATGGGAGAAGACCATGGAGGGCATGGATGGGAGGGAACTGGGCCAGGGGAGCAGGAGAGGCTGGGGGCGAGCAGGTGGCGGTGTCCCAGGCTGGATCGGATGTTCCCGGCCAGGCTGGTCCCAGGGCGTAGGTGTTGCTGTGCCTCCGCTCCAAGAGTTTCCGCCTGTGGTGTAATTGGAAACAGGCTCCGGAGTAGGCCTGGGATACAGTGATGGGGACCTGCACGCAGGGTCCCTCTGCAGGGCACGTCTTCCCCAACATTCCCATTGGCTGGGGGGACCCAGGAAGAAGCCCCAAGAGACATCCTGCATGCTGACCCCCATGCCCAGCACTTACCTTCAGGGTCTTACACAACCCTCCTGCCAACACTCGGAGGCTTCAGTGGTCCCTCCCCATCTGACAGACTTGAACACTGAGGGGTAAAAGAGCCAGGTGGGCCTGCCCAAACATCCCGGAGAGAGCCCGAGGAGTTTGGCGGGTCCGGAGTTCCCAGGTCCTTGGCCTGCAGATGGTCTGGGGAGCCCAAGAGTCTGAGGCAAGGGGGATGGGGCTGAGGCCAGGGCATCTGCTTATCCAGGTGCACCCCAGGGAAGTCTGAGGCACATCCCCCAGCTGAGAACGCATGGAGGCGGCAGGGAGCCATGGAGGTTTGTCGGGCAAGAGAGCAACAGGTCATCAAAGAGGAGCTTTAAGGAAGATGAATCCAGCAGAGAGGAGGCTGCTGTGTTGCCCAGGTTGCGATGGATGGGGCTTGAACTCAGGCTGTAGCCATGGAGTGAAGAGCAACAGAGAGAGATGAGAAATACTCTGGAGGAAGAAGTGGAAGAACATGACTGATGGGTTGTCCAGAGTAAGGAGGATCAGAGACCTCGGTTGAGCAGGAGGGTAGGGAGACGTGGGAGAAGATGCTGGGTCCAGTTTTGGACGGATGGCCTGTGGGCATCCAGGAGGAGGTGTCCAGGGCAGGGAGCTCCGTGCCTGCAGGAGGACAGGGGAGCTGGCCATGAGAGAAGAGGGAAGGCTCAACTGCAAGGTGTCACAAGTTGAACCTGTTCCATTTCTAGAATATTTCACAGTTTCAATCCCCCTCTTCCCAATTCTAGCCAGATTTCTCCATCTCTCTTCAGAAAAATCACAAGCACACCCTCTCACCATCTTATTGTGGGATTTCCTTGCAAATACCGAGGGACCTTTTTAAACACAATCCACCCACACTCCTGGGGGCTTTGGCAGTGTGTCCTGAGCAAGGCTGCAGGGAGAGATGGGCGGCTGAGGTAGGGACTTTCTTGCTTGGCAGTAACTCCAGCCCTCATGCCCAGGGCAGGTTGGCTCAGGCCCTGTGGGAGCCCCAGGTCCTATGCTCCCCCAGGACCCCCGTCTCTGTCCCAGGTGCTGGAGAAGCCCTTGCCTGGTGACTGTGAGTGGTCATGGGAGGAACAGCATGTAAAACAAAGCTTGGAGTCAGGCTGTGCTGTGTGACCCTGGGCAAGCCCCTAGTCTTCTCTGATGCTTAGGCTTCACCTCTCTAATGTGGGGTTGTGGTGAGAGCAAAGAGAGGTAGAAAATGATGTGCAAATGTGAGGGAGGGTTGTTGGCAACGTCTCTAATAGCAAGAGCCACTTAAAGAGCAGTCACTGTCACTCTGTGCCAGGCTTGGTGCCAGATGCTCTGCACACATTGACTCATTTTGTCCTCAGAACAAGTTTGTGAGGAGAAGACTGTCATCCTCCCCATTTTACCGAGGAGAAGGCTGATGCTCAGAGGGGTCAAGGCCCTGCAGGGAGACGATGTGGGAGCTGGGGTTTGAGTCCGGGATCGGCCACCACCATGGAGCTCTGCCTTCCCCCAGCTGAGCACCGCAGGACATAGTAATCACGGGACATAGGGCCCTGCCTGGGCTCCTGGCAGCTGGGGCCCGGAGCAGAGGCCCTCTTCAGACCCCTGAGGGCATCAGGACCTTGGCCGCCCCCCTCAGGACATGGCACCTCATCTGCAGAGGGAAGGAATGCTGGAGTCTGATGTGGAGGCTGCTGCTGTGGGGGTGGGCATTGCGGTGACGGGTGGTTCCAAAGGAGGAAGCCGCCCTGGCCCAGCCACACAGAACACACCCACATCCAGCCGCTGGGCTCGTAGCCCGACCTGGGGGAGTGGGTGGAAGTGGCTAGGATCACAGCAGAGCTGGGAAGGAGGCCTGGGAGTCTCGAAGAGCAGGTACTAGCGGCGATCTGAGGAATGAATGTTCAGAACACCGAACCTGGCTGCGGGCATTCACAGGCGGGGGAGAAACGCGCCGCAGTGCCCACAGCACATTTTGCCTGCTGAGGGCCCAGGACAAAGTTTGCAGCCATCGCAGCCCCTCCCCCGCCATCCTCATTCCCCAGGGACCTGGAAGTCCACCCATTCTGGCTCCGATCCCCTTAAACAAGTCATTTGATGGCTCTGGGGCTCAGTTTCCTCCTCTGTAGGACAATGCTAAGAGTATCTACCAACGCACCTACGTGGAGAAACAATCAGCCAAACAACCCCCTTTCAGGGTCACTGGTGGTAGTAACAGCTGCACCATCCAGACTACTGTGTGTGCTCCTGGCACTGGACCCAGCACAGCTCTCATATTCCATCTCAGTCCTCACACAGTCCTGTGTGGGGTAGGTACGCGTAGTACCCTCATTTTACAGATGAGGAAACTGAGGCACAGAGAGGTTAAGCCCATGGCTGCGTTCCTAACCATTGCCCCACACTTCCCCAGCACTCAGCGAGTTCCCAATAAATGTCTCCTCCCTGCACCCTGTGCCCCAGGCTTGTCTCCTGCCTCTACGTTTGCCTACCACGCAGCAGGTGAGTGAGCTTCCCACAATGCAGGTTTGCCCCTGGCTCCCCCTGATTAACCTGAAGGGTTGCCATGAGCCAGGCTCTGCCACCCTAGGATCCCTGCAAGCACCAGCCAGAGTGAGCCTCTCCCAGGCCCCCAAGGTGCCAGGCTTGTCTTTCCCCGGGATTTGCTCTCCCCGGAATGCCCTTCTCTGCCTTAAAGACGTCCCGAGGGCTGCCCTGTATCAAGCAGCCTCCAAGGATATCTCTGTGCTCTCAGAGCTCACCAAGCCAGCTTCTCCCTCCATCTATGTCTTCTGGACCTCCAGCTCTCACCCCGAGGCTGGAAGAGGCCAGGGGCTCAAAGAGGTGACTGGGGACTCCGAGAAGACACGGAGTGCCTACGGCCCTTTCCCACGGGGCCCTGAGACACGCATGGGCGCCGGGCTTGGCAGAAAGCCCAGAACTCAGTTGGGGCTTGGTGGCTTCAGTGAGAGCTGAGTAGCCATGAGCCCTGCAGTGTTTGTTAATTGAGCCATAAATAGCTGTGTCCCAACAGCCTAGAGCTCAGGGAGAGCTGGCTGAGCCAGCTTGGGAGGTGGCTGGTGGGGGCTCCCACAGCCCACCGGGTGTGTCAGGGCAAGGCAGGCCGGAGGCGGTGACTGCGCCTGGCGCCTGCCACTGGTCTCACTGACTCCTACAGGCACAAGGTTCTGCTGACCCCAGTGACCTGTGACCACAGCGAGACACTTGGGTGTGTGGAATCCCGGGGTGGGACTGAAGGATAAGGGAGGAGTTGAAGGAAACCACTAAATGGAGGTCATATTATTTCATTTGGTCCTCGCTATGAAGAGGCTAGGTATGGAGAGCCATCCGTTTCACCACCAAGGAAACGAGGCTCAGAGAGCTTATGTAACCTGTTTAAGGTCACACAGAGTACGGGGGACAGGTCTGTAGGAGAAGCAGCATGAACCAGTGATTTCAATCTGCAGCCAGATCTTCCCAGTCTGAGCTGTGTGACCTTGGACAAGTGACTTCACCTCTCTGAACCTCTGTTTCTCCCATCCAGGTATGGACCAGGCCCAACCCTGCTTAGCTTCTGAGATCGGACACGGTCAGGCGCATTCAGGGTGGTATGGCCATAGACTGAACCTCTGTTTCTTTAGTTATATGAATAAAGGCTCACGCTCACTATGTGCTAGGCTCAGTTCTCTATCTGTGTCAACTCATTTAATCTTCACAACCACCCCACAAAACAGGAGCCCATTTCACAAATGAGGAAACAGGCACAGAAAGGTTGAGTTGCCTGCAAACTCACAGCTGCTAACCCGGGCTCCAGACACCACGCCCTTCGCCCTGTGCTCTCGTGTGTCTGCAAAATGCAGGCCCGCTTACCCAACAGACACACAGCTCCTACCACAGGCCAGGCAGGCACTGTTCTGGGCATATACGAGGGAACTAGACCAAGTCCCTGCCTCTAATGGTGCCTTCAGTAGAGTAGGGGAGACAAAAAAAAAAAAAGGTAAACACAGATAATAATATTTCAGATGGTAATAGGTGCAATAAAGAAAAAGCCACTAGAAGAAAGGACCAAGAGTAATGGGAAGTGGGTGATCAGAAAAGGCTTTTTGGAGGAGGTGATATGTGAGTGATTTGAGATGAGCCAAGGAAATATCAGGAGGATTAGGGTTTCAGATTGAAGACACCATATCTGCAAAGGCCCTGAGGCTGGAGTGGGTGAAGGAAAGGGTGGCAGGAGAAGCAGGTGAGGGATGGGTGTCAGCTCACATAGGCCTCGAAGACCATCAGGACTTTGGAGGTAACACTACCCTCCCACACACAGGTGTTATTAAAGGGTGGGATGCACATGAGAACTGGCACATAGTAAGTGCCCAATAAAAGGTCTCCATATTTTTTCACTATTATGGTAAAATACACATGACACAAAATTTACCATTTTAAAGTATACAATTCAGTGGCATTTCATGCATTCACAGTATTGTGCAACCACCGCCCCTCCTTAGTTCCAGAACATTTTCTTCACTCTGAAAGGAAGCAGTCACTCCCCATCTCCCCCTCCCCCTCAGTCCTGGCAACCATTAATCTGCTTTCTGTCTCTATGGGTTTGCCGATCTGGATACTAATATAAATGGAATCTTGCAATACACAGCCTTTTATGCCTGGCTTCTTTCATTTAGCCTCATGTTTCCAAGGCTCCTTCATGTTGCAGTATGTATCAGTACTTCTTCCTTTTTTATGGCTAAATAATATTCCATTGTATGGGTGTACCACATGTTGTTTATCTATTCATCAGCTGATGGACATTTGGATTGTTTCCACCTGTTGTGAATCGTGCTGCTGTGAACATGCCTGCCCAAGTCTTTGTTGGAACACCTGTCTTCAGTCTGTGGGGTACATACCTAACAAGTAGAATTATGAGGTCATATGGGTAATTGTACCTTTTACTTACTGAGGAACAGTTGAATTGTTTCCCCCAGCAACCGTTAATATTGTAATTAGTGTTACTACATTGCTTCTATTTCTCTGTAAGGGCTGCTAACTTCTCAGCCACCTCTAATCACCTCCACAAAGGCAAGGTGGGTGGTGGGGAGGGGCCTGGATTCTGCCACCCCTCCCCCTCCTCTTTTTCTCTTTTCCTCCCCCCAGCACTGGCCTTTGGCTCACCTGAGCCCCTCTTGCAGGTGTTTGGCGACGTGGACCATGTGCGGATGACCTCAGAGGGCTCCGACTGCCGCTGCAAGTGCATCATGCGGCCGCTGAGCAAGGACGCCTGCAGCCGGGTACGCAGCGGGCGGGCGCGGGTGGAGGACTTCTACACCGTGGAGACCGTGAGCTCCGGCAGCGACTGCCGCTGCTCCTGCACCGCGCCGCCCTCCTCGCTCAACCCTTGCGAGAACGAGTGGAAGATGGAGAAGCTCAAGAAGCAGGCACCCGAGCTCCTCAAGGTAGGCTTTCTGGGTAGACAGTAGGACGGGAACGCCTTCTGGATGAGCACCTAGCGTGGGCTGGCATCAGGCTCTCCTGCCAGTGAAAAGTCCCCTGCTCTAAGGCAGGTGCTGTTAGCGTCCTATTTCACAGGTGAGGAAGCAGAGACTCCCTGTCCCTTGAAGGGAAGCCACTTCTTGCCCCAAACCATTCCACCAGTGAGTGAGAGAGGCAGCATTCTTTGGCTAGTTTACCTGAATATATAGCCCCTTACCATCTAGTCCAGTGTCCTGTATTTTACCCAAACCAGTTCCTCTGTCGGCACTTCTACGTAGTATTTTAAATTTTGCGACGTTATTGTTTTCAATTAGTAATAATATTTCCCATATTCAGGTGCCACCTCTGCAGACAGATGTTGTGCTAAGCTCTTTTTACAGGTTATTCCTCTAAATTCTTAAACTATTCTGTGAAATACGGGATCTTTGTCCTCATTTTATAGGCAAGAAAACTGAGGTTTGGAGAATTTAGGTCACTGGCCCAAGCTCTCACATAATGACATGTAGCCTGAAGTCTACAGCATACTTTATGTGAGTTTTGTGCCCACGCCCTCCTTTCCATGCACCATAGGCAGGTTCAAAAGAAGCACTGGCTCTGGGGGACACAGAACAGCCCACACCAGGGGCCCCCACCAGGACCCATGGTTTGAATAGGCATGTGCAAGCTAGATCGGTCCCCACAGCCAACCAGGCACCTTTGTGCCGTTCATATCAGGCTCAATTCAGTACTTGGTGGGGCTGGGATTTGAACACAGGTCCTGCTGTGTCCAAAGCATGTATTCTAAATCACAGTGCTCTCTTGTCTTCCTTTTTATAATGGACCAGATAACTGTGGTGCTTTTGAAAGTTTGGGGTTTTAAAAAATAATTTCTTCCAAACACGCGGGTGTCAAGAATTGTGAAGTTCAGTGAGCTGTTACCCTAGTTGAAAGCTACCAAGTTGGTCTGCCAGTTTCAGGGGTGCCGGCAGAAGTCACAAGCCTCCTGGGTCAGAGACAAAGGACTGTATTCCTCAGAGCAGCCAGAGTTTCCTTTTTCTGCCCTGGTTCTTGCATTCCAGCTCCCACAGGGAGAGGCTGGATGACACCTGCACACACAGTGGGGCGCTTTGGTTTTCTTTTAATTAAAAAAATTATTTATTGACTTTAGACAGAGAGCAGAAAGGAGAGAGGTGGGGGGACAGAAACATCAATTTGTTATTCCACTTATGGATGCATTCATTCTTGTGTGTGCCCTCACTGGAGATCGAACCCACAACCTTGGCATATTGGGACAATGCTCTAACCAACTGAGCTGCCCAGCCAGGGGACAGTGGGGTGTTTTCTAAAAGAGGTGTCCCAACTTGGAGGATCCAGATTTTTTATAATGGGCACTGAGCATGCCTTCCCTGCTCACTGTTCCAAGGCTGTTCACTGTACGATGGCCTAGAACAGACAGACAGTGTCTCCGCATGCAAGACATGAAGAATTGTCCCAACACTTGGCTAAAATGTTTTCTTTAAATTTGACTTTAGCCCCGGCCAGTGTGGCTCAGTTGGTTGGAGCATCATCCCGTAGACTAAAAGGCTGTGGGTTTGATTCCCCATCACGGCACATCACCAGGTTGTGCGTCTGATCCCTGCTTGGGACACATACAAAAGGTCGACCAATCAATGTTTCTCACATCAATGTCTCTGTCTGTCTTTCTCTCCCTCCCTTCCTTTCTCTCTAAAAGCAATGAAAAAATGTCCTCAGGTGAGGATTAAAAAATAGATAAATTTAACTTCAGTTTAATTTTTCTAACAACTGAATGGATACCAAAACTCAAAGTTGAGGCGGGTGTTGAATTTTAGGCCAAGTGGCCTCTTGACATCTTGGCGGTCGCTGGACCGCACTGTCTCCTTGGGGCCCCTCTGGGGCTCTACAGACTCCAGGCACTGAGGCCATAGGCCAGTTTTCAGTTACAGGGACAAACCCAATTTCTGCTCAGGTCCGCTTCTCAGTAACTAAATAACTTCTCAAACTGTCGGACATGAGGATACTCAAAACCTTTTCATAAAAGCTGGCAAATTTAGTTCTTACCACAAACCTTGGAGCGGGAACTTCGGGTCCCAGCTTTACTTGTGGAGGAGACTGAGGCCCAGGGAGAGATTATGACTTGCCTACAGTCACACGAGAAGAAATTGGCAACACTGACATTTGAAGTCAGGAATTGTCTGCTGTGGCCCCTTGCCCATGGGAGGGGACCCTAGGCAGCTCTCTTAGTCAGGAGCCCATTGTCCCTTGGGCCTTTTTGGTGCCCAGCAGCCTTCGGGGGTTTCATTCAGCCTTATAGGGCTGGAGCAGGGGCAGCGGGATTGATAGCAGGTGGGGTTGTAGGAGCAAGAGAAGATATTCTGCCTTGTTAATGCCCGGGGAACAGAACCGGGTACGTGAGGGACACCCAGAGAACCCCAAGGGGAGAAGGGGGCAGGGGAAGTATGATGCAGGGCTGAGGCCTCACCCATGTGGCGTGGCTCTCCCTCCCTCAGCAGGAGTGCTCTCTGGGCAGCCCCTCAGGAGAAGAGGTTGGAGGAAGCCCAGGGGGAGGGGGATAGAGCACACCTGCCTTATACCCGCCCCCTGTCCCTACCCCATCCCTTCTCCTCAAGCTAAGAAATCCAGCTCTGATTTGGCCTTAGTTGCTTGACTCTTGAGTAGGAGTGAGAGGAGCCCAGATCCCCTCTCTTGGGGAGGTTGGCTGCAGGGGCCTGCCTCTCACCGCTTCACCTCCTTCCCTTGCACACAAACCAGACATGACCCCACCCTGGAGGGATCCCCAGTCTTGTAGGGACACAGCTCCTGGCCCCAATAATGGCAGTGTGATTGGTGCTGGGTTGGGGGATATCCCAGGGACTGTGGGGACCAAGAGTACTGGGCTTTGAGGGATGTGTAAGAGTCCCTCGGGCAGAGCGGAAACGAGGGCACTCGGCGGGAGCAGGTGCAGTGTGTGACACAGGGTGCCTCCCGGCCCTCTCTGCTGCAGCCCCACCTTCTGCCTGCCAGTGTCTCTAACACAGCGCCTCTCAAACTGCCTGTGGTGCAAGACCAGCTGTTTAAAACATCTGTCACAAACCCGTATTTTTGTAAAATACTCTAAAAATGAATTCTTAGAAAAATCAAGCATGCACCACACTAATCCAACATTTGACTCCTAAGAGTCAACAGATACAAAATTGCTCTGTCAAATGGCTGCAAAAGGCTATGAAAGCCTCTCTCACTTTTCATAATCATTTCGTCACAGGCAGCAAGGAGCAGTGTGGGCCGGTGCCGGTCCACAGACTGCACTCGGGCTGGCACACTTGAACATACCGCGTCTCTTCCCACCGCCAGTTCTCGGCACAAGCTCGTCCCTGGCCCGGAATGCCTTTTTCCCGCCATCCTGGCTTCCTCAGAGCTCAGCTCAAACAAAACTTCTTCCTGGCTGACTTCACTAATCTATACCCGCTCCCAGGCACGGTCACACCTCGTCAGAAGGACCCAGGCACCTGAGTGTTACTGTCTGTGTTCCCAACCTGGGTGCTTCTCTGTTAGTCTCTGCATTCCTTGCCAGCCTGTGAAGGGCATGAAGCCCCATGTCTGTCTTGCTCATTACTGTCCTTAGTGCCTGGCCCAGCACAAACGTTTGCTGAGGCTGAAGCGGGTAGTAGGGACAGACCAAGGGGTGCCCAAATGCCAGGCTCCGGGGGTGACAAGCCACACACGGGCGGTGGGGAGCCACAGGAAGTTATCTAGCAGGGGAGAGACTTGCGGTCAAAGCTTAGCTTTGGGAAGCCAGTTTTGGTGGCTGCAAGTCAGCAGAGTGAAGTTGGAAGGTTCCCATTTAGCCTCCAGTCAGGGGTCATTATTGCTGATATTCATGAAGCCCTTGCTGTGTGCTGAGCCCTGTCCAGACGTTACTGCTTCTCACAACCCTGGTGACCCCTTTCCCAGAGAAGGAAGCTGAAGCACAGGAGGGTCGATGTGCATGGCTCTAAAGCTATGCTCCGCAAAGCCCTGCGGGCACCGTGCAACCTCAAGGCCTGAGCAAGGCTGGCGGGGAGCTGAGGAGGCTCAAAGCCCTGCCCCTGCTCCCGTCAGAGCCCCCCCCCCCCCGCCCTCCTTCTGTTTTAGAGATCTCAGTCTGCTCAGAGAAAAGCTCTCTGGCTTCAAGCAGCTTGAACACCCCTGGGAGAGTGGGAGTAGGACTGCTTTGGAAATACAAGCCAGGACCAGGCGGGAGCGCTGGCCTGCTCAGGCCCTCGGGAACGCGTCTGGCCTGGGAGTGGGGCCGTGCTGGAGGCGGGCTGGAGGGACGGGCCTGCCACGAAGCCAGGGGGAGCTGCTTTCCCAACCTGCCCCGTGTGCCAAGGTGTCCCTGACACTCTTGCTGGCATCCCAGCCACCTGGAGGGAAATGTCCTATCCCGATGAGGTGTGACAGAGAGGGGGAAGGGAGAGGCAGCTATGGGGAAGAGCTCTGGGCTGGGCAAGGGAGACCCGGCATCTGCCACTGACCTGTTGTGCAATCCCGCCTTCTTTCTTGTCCTCAGTTTTCCCATCTGAACACAAGACAGGAGCAGTAAGACTTGACAAAAAAGAGGTTTGGGTTTTACCAAGCTGGGTTCTGCTCCCGGCTCCACCATGAAGCCCTTGGGTGACCTTGGGCAGGTCACCTCACCTCTCTAAGCTGCAGCTTCCCAATCTATGTGATGAAGATGAACAATGTCCAAACCCTGTCTTTGGTTGGGCCCCCGAAGCAGACCCTGCGGTGAATGATCCGTGTGCAGGTGTTTTATGGTGGAAGTGCTCCCAGGAGGAACTGGTACCAAAGTGTGAGACGAGGGGGCAGTAAGGGAAGGAAGCCCAGCAGGGCTGTGGCCTCTGGCCAGTGCCAGGCTCAGCCCCAGGGCTGCTGGGGTATGAATGACAGCTCAGTTGTCCCACGGGGACCAGGGAGCTGGCTCTTAGGTGCCCACACCAGTCAGACATTGCCTAACAGCTGCCCCAGGAGGACAAATGCTCTCGGACATTTGGGAACAAAGTAACTCTTTGAAGAGTCACAGATGCAGGCCGATACAGGGGCACATGCAAGCCAGGCACGGGCACAGGACACAGCAGGAGGGATCCCAGGGGGGTGGTCAGAGCCTGCCACTGCCTCCCTCCTGAGGTGTTGTGAGGAGTAAGTGACGCAGCTCATTAAAGCCCCTAGCACAGCGCCTGCCTCATCGTACGTGCTCAAAAGGGGGAAACTGTTGGCTTTCTTGTGATTCTTAGCAGGCAGGGCCTAGTGGCCACGGAGGGCCCGAGAAGGCCATCCTGAGGAGCTGGGGTCCTGGAGGTCTGCGCTGCAGTGGGACTCCTCTGCCCACTTCGTGCGGGACCCTGTGCGCCGTTCTGTCCCTAACCCTCGGCCTCCCCCGCAGCTGCAGTCCATGGCGGACCTCCTGGAGGGCGCCCTGTACAGCATGGGCCTGATGAGAGTGCACGCCTACGTCCACAAGGTGGCCTCCCAGATGGACACGCTGGAAGAGGTAAGGGCAGGGCTTGAGCCAGGGGCCGGGCCGGCGCACGCTGGGGGCTGACGGCAGTGTCAGGAGGGAGCCTGGTGGCTGTTGAAAGCTGGACTCCGGCAGAGCACAGGGAGAGGGGGACACAGGCCACAGGGTGCAGGCTGTGGGGAAGAGACCTGATGGGCTCAAGGGCCTGCAGGAAGCCAGAAGGCCGGGTGGAGAAACTGAGGCGCTTGCTGGTTGTATGAGAGGGATGGGGAGGGGGCTGGAACTTGGAGTCGTCCTCAGTTCACCAAGACCAGGACCCACCCGTGGCAACACTCCAGGGCCACCACTGACATAAATACCACGTGAGCAGTGCCCCCCTGAGGTGGTGAATCAGGGTGCAGGACTGGCTGAACCCACGAGGGGCCAGGCTTGAGGCACCTACCGCGGAGACAGAGGTGCTGAGCGTCTTCTCCGGGTCAGAACAACTTTGCTGGAGGGCTGGGCAGACAGCTGGGACGGCCCCCTGAGGTCAGGGACAGAGGTGGGCAAGCACGAGGGTCCAGGCTGCAGGTTGGAGGTTTGCGTCTGTGCTGGCACAGCCTGGCCTCCGCCTGTTTCCTTCATCCGGCCTCTGCTGGGAGCCTGGGGATGTGCAGCTGCCCGGAGCGGGTGTGGGGGCTTCCTTCCCCAACTTCCTTTCCAGAGGGAGGGGGCACCTGGGCATCCTGTGCCCCAGTGTGGGAGATTAACCCCTTCCTAACCTCAAAGTTGAAGTCACAATGGCTTTAATTACTCAAAAAGCGTTTGGTGAGTATCTCCTATGGGCCAGGCCCATGCCAGCAAGGGAGAAACTAGTAATGATTGAATTCCTACGGTGCACTAGTGTTCCCTGGGCACCAGGACATGCCAGGCTCTCCTGTTTCCGGCTCTGCAGTTATCCTTCGACTTTTCCTCCGGTGATCTGAGGAAATGTTAACTCACTTCACATGACTATAAAAGCCAGACAGTCTGGAGGATATGTCTGCTGGGCCTGGAACCAATCAGAAGAGATTGCTACAGCCACAAAGAAATAATTTCTAATTATCTTCTGTTTTGCATTATCTGTGCTTTACTTCTGTTCACTGAGTGATAATTCTATGAAGGAAACAAATTTTCCTTTGCTAACCTGGGAGGGAAGAGCCCCGCTCGGGGGGAGCTGGCTTCCCTTGTAGCAGAGGTTCTCCGCCCGGGGCCGTTTTGCTCCCCAGAGCACAGTCGACGATATCTGGAGACATTTGTGGCTGTCACAGGTGGGGGGAGGTGGGTGGTGGATGGCACCGGCTTCTAGATGGGTAGATGCCAGGGATGCTGCTCAACATCCTATTGTGCACAAGACAGACCCTGCCTTCCCGCCCCAAACACAACTGACAAATGTCAGCAGTGCTGGGGTTGAGAAAGTCGCCTTATGCACGTTGACTTCTGTCTTGCCTGCGATCTAGTTTAGAACTCACTTTCTACTTCCTTAGCATTTCTGGTCCTCACAGTCACCTTGATATTTAGTTGTTATTATGATAAACATCCTCATTTAATAGGCAAGGAAACTGAGGCTCAGAGAGGTCACATCACTCACTAGCTCAGGGCTACTCAGCCAGGAAGTGGAGAGCAAGGATCTGAACCCAGCTCCGTCCAGTCCTGCCTGCTGCCCCTGGGGCCCTGAATTTCTTCACTCCCAGGGCTGACTAGACATCAGTCACTTGTAGGTTATCTTCTCCTCTGTAAAAATTTATGGCAATGAAATTCTGAACTCGTGAGCTCCAGGGCTTCACAGCAGGGAGGTGCTTCCTGCTTCTGACTCTAGCTTCCACTGCATCAGCTGAGAAGTAGGCTCAGAAAAGGGAATTCTACACATACCCCAGGCCTGCTGGGGGCTTTAGGGACCTGGGGCTCATACCAGGCCACCCAGCTTTCCAGAGTCCTGCCCCATGGACACTGCCAGCCTGGGCAAGAGCCCAGGGACAGGGATCCCTGGGTTAGAGGGTCCGCAGAGAGGAACATGGCAATTCTGAGCCGTCCTGTTTCCAGCAGGATTCAGGACCAGGGGCCATGAGGGGGTGGCTGGGGCTGCTAAAGCCAGGCAGGGTCCCCGGCAAGGGGGAGACAGGTGGGCAGGAGAAGAAACCTGGGGATAAAAGCGGGGTCAGTGCTGTGGGAGGGGCCACCACCACCCTGGAGAGAAGCCAGGGACTTGCGGACCAGAAGGGATCAGAGACTCACCCCTGGCGAAACTACAAAGACTTTCATTGTTTGAGCATTTTATTAAAAAAATGTATTTATATACTTATGAGTCACTTGTGAAATTAGAATGTAATTTTAAAGTAGCAAAATGTTGGTAGCAAGTTAAATCACGAATTCGTAGGGACGGGCTAAATACACCATGGCCGGTCCATCCCGCGGCACACTGTGTGGCCGCAAAGGAGTGGCGAGCACTGCATGCGCGGACATGGAAGAGTTCTCAGGGCAGGGTCAGGTGAAAAGGCAAAGTGCCCAAGAGGACAAAACAATTGGCTGAGAAACAAAGGTGGGAGGAAGACACTTTTATACCCATTTGTATCTTTAATTTAGTACTGTGAACATATTTTATCTGTTTTCATCCATTCACTCTTTAAATAAAAAATAACTGCAGGGTCTCTTAGCAGCATGCTTTCTTCCAGCCATGCTCACGGGTGCTGCCCCCGTCCACAAGAATGGGCAGCAAAGCCCGAGGGCGGGAGCCGGGGTGTCCCGCCAGGCCCGGGGGTGGGCGGCTGTGAGAGGAGGCCAGAAAGACCTCGGGTCCCGCCCCCACAGAGCATCAAGGCCAACCTGAGCCGGGAGAATGAGGTGATGAGGGAGAGCATGCGCCACTTCAGCGAGCAGCTGAGGCACTACGAGAACCAGTCGGCCATCATGATGAGCATCAAGAAGGAGCTCTCCAGCCTGGGCCTCCAGCTGCTGCAGAAGGACTCGGCCGCAGCCCCTGCCCCCGCCCCAGCCGCCGGCCCTGATAGCAAGGCACAGGTGAGACTGTGGCTCTGATTACGGCTGGGCTTGGGAGCACCGTGTGTCAGGACCTCGGCTGGGACAGGGCTGGAGAGTCCATGGCAGGGTGGGGTGCAGGGGTGCCCGCCGTTCCGCGAGAGCCATCGGCAAGGGGAGCTGGGGGCAGACGTGGGGATCCAGCCGAGGGGTCTGTTTCCTGAGTCAGGCATTTGGCAGAATTCGCATTCCTACTTCCAAACCAGGGGGGACAGGTCGTAGAGATGACCCTCCCTGCCTGGGCCCCCCCCCCCAGACCAGGTCTGCTGCAGGAAACCACTTCAAGCCGCCCCTGCGGTGGCTGGGCCCCTGGCTGGGTCAGGCCTGCTCAGGGGTAGATAGGCGACGCCTCGGAGACCCCTGCACACGAATGCCATGTCCCCCACCCAACCTAGGGGGAAGGGCTCCTGCCGCAGGCCTCGAGACGTTCCTGCTCAGGCTCAGAGCTCAAAGCAAGCAGAGGTTTTGTCACCAGCAAAGCCACCCTCGACAAATAACACACCTTTGTGCAAATTTGACGAAGGCCCTCCTCTGGGCAGACAAACTGCAGTAAAAGCTCTTCTGCAGGGCAAATAAATTAGAAAGAGGAGCCCCTTTGAGTGGACAGATTGTACAAAGTCAACTTCCTATGAGCGACGCACACCAGAGCGTATGGCAAATGGAGTAAGACTAGATCTCAGCCCCATTCGTGCCCCTTCGGCCAGCCACCTGCGTGTGTGCAGGCACAACCCGCGCCACTCACAGCCGCCTTGTTTTGGGTGAGCGGGGGATGAAAGGAGCTGACGTTGTAGAATCCTGCTTTGAACCTGACTTCCTCACAGACATTTTCCTAGTTTATCCCATAACCACCTGTGAAGAGGGTGATCATCGCCTGTTTGGCAGATGAGGAAACATGGAGCAAGGTCACACGGGGAGAGGGTGTCTGCGCTGGGACTGGAAGGGGTTGTGTGTGCCAGCCGAGCCTGCGCTCTTGGTTGCCACCCCCCAGCCTGTGGTAGTGCGTGGAGGAAGCCTGGAGCCTTGGCCCAGGCTGGCTTCCTGCTCATTCTCCAGCCAGTTCCACAGGTGCGAATGATTCACGCACAGATCTAGATGCTGCTCCTGCTGTATCTCCTGAAGACTCTGCCTAACAGTGGTGATGTCTCAGGCCCTGGATTCCTGCGCCAAGCCAGCCTCGAGGACATTGAGAAGGAAGTGAAAATAGCAAAATTCACAAAATGTTAGAAACTGCATGCCCTAAGGGCAATGCCCCTCAAGCAGCTGTCCCAGTCGTCCCAGGACCGAAGGGTTTCCCAGGACGCAGGGCTTGCAGTGCTACAACTGGGAAAGCTCCAGGCACACTGGGATGAGCTGGCCACCCTGCCTCGGGGCCTGAGAACCTCTCCTCTGTCCATAAACAAAGACCAAAGAGTGAGAGAGACAGAGCCGGAGAAGTTGGCCTGCTGGTCGGCTCCCTCCCCAGGGAGCTAGCTGACCATTATAGTCAGCACCCTTCGGGGAGTGACAAGAGTTAGGAAATGGGACAGGAATCTAACCGATCAGGCTGGCCTTCAGGCCTGCAGGGGAGCTAAAGAGCTGAGTGGGGAAACTGAGGCACACCCCTGTCATGGATGTAGCCACTATGGGAGGAAAGCTGTGGCTTGATGAGCAAGTGGGATGTATGGCCTAGAGCAACACGATCACTTCCGGCCCCCACATGCTGAGCCTCCGTGACAGCCCCCACAACGTCCCTTCTACCAGTCTCCGTGACTGAGACCTCTCTTCTCTCCCAGGACACAGCTGGAGGGAAAGGCAAAGACAGCAACAAATATGGTGGCAGTGTGCAAAAGAGCTTTGCAGAGAGGGCCCTCCCTAAACCTCCTAAGGAGAAGCTGCTGAAGGTGGAGAAGCTGAGGAAGGAGGGTGGCCAGGGCCGATTCCCCCAGCCCACAGCCAAGCCCCGGGCCCTGGGCCAGCAGCAGGCGGTGATCCGAGGCATCACCTACTACAAGGCGGGCAGCAGGGAGGTGACGGAGGCTGGTGAGTTGGAGGGGGATTGGAACCCTGGGGAGTCGGGGCTGCTGATGGATGGCCACGCCCCAAGGATCTCCCGCAGGGTTCCAGGGTCTTCTCTGCAGCCCCAGGTTTCAACCCCACTGCTTCCTGCTGGTGCCCTTTGCTTGTGCACACAATGGCATAATATTCCCTCCTGGGGTTGTTGGGGGTGAAATGATATGATCAGCACAATGGGCCATTCGGTTCCTTTCCGGTATTCACAGCCATCTCTACCCTCGCTGGACTTTCCCTCCTTCATTCAGAGATTTGCTGACGGTCCACACGGTGTACCTGCCGTATTGCCCAGAGATTCTGCCTAACATGGAGCTCACAGTCTTGGGGGGGAAACCATACCCACGACCAGGCAGCTGCCGCAGTTGGGGCGGGGCTGCAGCCAGGCCAGGGCTCTGAAAAGTGACACAGCCCTTCGGGGCGCTGCCTGGGAATGGATGGCCTCTCCAGCACCTCCCACTTCTTATCTCCCCAGAGGAGGGCCCACACATACCTATATTTTTCCTGCAGCCCCTTGCTGGGTCACAGTGAAGGACAACAAAGTAATTCATTGAGAAACAGGAGACGGAAGTTCCAGGAGTACCCAAATCCTGAGCCATCCCCACTAGTGTGGCTCCTGACTCTCCCTCTGAGACCCTCTGCAGACGCCTGCCCTCCTCAGATGTCCCTGAGAAGGGGCCCAAGCCAGCTCCACTTTCCTGGGTCCTGCTGACCACCTCCCCCTGAGAGGCCTGGGAGGCAGAACTGTGAGGAACCCCTCTCCTTCGAGAGCCCCCTCAATTCAGGGGCCTCTTCCCCCAGCCTCTGGTGCCAGCTGCTGGCCCTGCGTCCTGCCAGCTCAGCCTGGCCTCTGACCCCCGGCTGGGACACTGCCCGAGAACAGCTGCAGGCATCTGACTGCCCGCGCGCCCCGTGGGAAAAAGCCCCCAGCCGGCAGGCTGCCGAGGCCAGGCCCCCAGGGGGGCCCCCTGACCGGAGGGTGTGCCCGTTCCCAACAGATTCCAGGGGCTGCTCTGCGGTGGGACCTGGGTGAACCTCTGTGCAAAGAGGAAGCCCAGCCCGGAGAGCACAGGGAGAGATCAGGGCACTGTCCTAGAGTCAAGGAACCTCAGTGCACCAGCTGGGGGCCACCCCATCACGGTAACCTTGACACCTTTCCTTTGGCCCTGGCACCACGATTTTCTGAGCGCTTTCACCCCGCGTTGCCCTTGGCCTGGGGAGTAACCAGGCTCAGAGACGAAGTCACTGGCTCCAGGCCTCACAGTGAGTTGTTGACACTGGAGACCAGGTCAGCAGGCTGCAGAGCCTGCCTTAGACGCCTTCACAGCTCTGTCCCTGGAGCTGAAGAGTCTTTGTCTCCTACTATGTGGCATCGAGTCTTCCCGATTCCCCTACCCAGAGCTCATCCATCCCGGCCCAGAGAGGCGTGTGGGTCAGGGACCACCCAGGTGGCTCCACACGAGGTCCCATGGATGCTGAGAAAGCCCTTCTGTGAGCCATGCCCATGCAGGCAGGGCCAGGAGAGAAGGGGGAGGCATGCCAAGAAAGCCGAGAGAGACAGGAGAGAGGAAATGAGCGAGAGGAAAGAGGAAGACAGAGACCTGGGGTCTGGACGGTGACGGGAATTCGGGCGCACCTGCCCCTCCCTTGCATGAAGCATCAGACACTAGGTAAGAGAAACTAGAGGGTGGGCTCCAGGGGACAGGGCTGGGAGAAAGTCTGGAGAAGGCTCTCTGCCTCCTGGAATTGAATCCCGGAAATGAAAGAATTGGTACAAGGTGCCTGACACTTAGGAGGGAAAGGGGTCTCATATACGGCAGAATCTGTGCAAATGTTTTGTATACATTTTCCTCTAATCAACAACAGCCTAACACGCTGGGCCTCATGGCTCTCATTTCACCGAAGGGGAAGCTGAGGCCGCTCAGCTGTGGGCTCGGAGCAGGCCAGCAGACGCGAAGCCCGCTTTTCCAGGCCTTCGGCTCTTGGGACCCTCCCCGTCCCCTCCCCAGGGCCCCAGAGCCAGGAGCCCAACTGGCCTGGAGAGGATCCCACGGAGCAGCAAGTGCAGCGAGGATGTGAGCTCAGGGTCTTCTTTCCACAGACAACGCTCTCAAGGGCACTTCCTGGCTGGAACAGCTATCGCCCAGGGTGGAGGGCAGGCCACCAGAGCCCAACTCTGCAGAGCATGAGAAGCCTGGGCCCAAGGCCTCGGAGGGACCAGACGTGGCCCCTGACACCCCCGCCTCAAACTCAGCCATCACCCCTACCCCGGCCACCAGTCCCCTGCCCACTGAGCCACCTCCACACCCAGAGGTCCCCAGCCAAGGTGAGTAAGCCCCTCAGGTCCGCAGACTCCTCCCACGCCATGGGCCAGAGCCAGCCTGCAGCCTTTGTAAGCCCTTGAGCTATTTTTACATGTATAAAGGGTTGTAAAAAAAGAAGATGGGGCAAAAGTATGTGGTCTGGGAAGCCTCAAATGTTTACTATCTGATCCTTTACAGAAAAAGATTGACAACATCTACAGTGAAACCAGTAGTATTTTCAACCAATTCTTTTTTAAAAGTCACCTAGAAGTCCATCGTCAAATCCAACAACTATTTTCCCGTCTTTATTTCCTCTGTCTAGTGTTTGGCTCTGTTTTCAGATCTACATTTGTGGTTTTTGGCTTGTGCCTTTTGGTAGAAATTGTCCTCGTAAAATCATCAGGCCCAGCCCCCTGCAGAGCAACTTGGCGCCCATGGCAGCGAGCCGTCCTTGGTCCGAGCACACACTCCATTTTTAGGAATCCTTCCTCAGGATCCATCAGCGATTTGGACAACAGCTGCAGCTTAGCTGGTTTCCTCACAGCCTATTTCTAATGTCAGAAAACTGGACATAACCTGCAGGTCTAATGCTGAGGGGTCTGGTTTAATAAATTCAAGGGCGCAGCTGTGTGGCGGCCTGGGCGAGCCCTGAAATCACATCATTGAGAGGCCCTTTAATGATGCGAGAAATTGCTCAGTGGAGGGGGAAAAAACAGGGTACATGAAACTATATTCAGAAGGACCATAGGTTTACATGCTTGACTGTACATGTGAAGAAAAGGAAGGAAATACAACAGGTTAGGAAATTCCTCCAGATAATGGAATTTTCGAGTGATTTTTATTTTCTGCTTTTCTGAGTGTTCCATGTTTCTTGCAATGATCAGATGTTGCTTTGATCATGAGGAAAGAAAAAAAAGGCTGCACGCGACATGTCAGGAGGGATTGAAGTTAGACCTAGGGAGCGTTCCCAGGATGCTCTGACGCGGGGAACGTGAGTACCAAACGCTGTGCCCCTCACTCCCCACAGGCAGAGAGCCCAGCTGTGAGGGTACCCTCCGGTCCGTGGACCCCCCTGTGAAGCACCACAGCTACGGGCGCCATGAGGGAGCCTGGATGAAGGACCCCATGGCGCCGGATGACAGGATCTACGTCACTAACTACTACTATGGAAACAGCCTGGTGGAGTTCCGCAACCTGGAAAACTTTAAGCAAGGTCGGGGACCCTGGAGGTGGGAACAGGGAAGGGTGTGGGTGGCCCAGGAAGAGTCCCCCGTGGAGACTTGGCCCTCCCTGCCTTGTGGTTTCCTGTGGTCCAGACTTCCCCAGCCTGGCCTAGCTCCAAATGGTCAGCCACCCCAAGGAGGGGAGTCTGGCAGCACCCCCTATAGGCTGGCACAGTGCCAGGAGCTGGAATGCCCCAGCAAATGAGATGGGCATGGCCCTGCCCTCAGGAGTGGAACTCACTGTGGAGGGAAACAACGCTTCTAGCTTCCACCAGGGCTTACCGTGTGCCGATCACCCTGTGTGAGTCAGCTCTGTTATCTCTATAGCTCCAGGAGGTGGGGGTTATCCTGCTTCATAGGTGAGCAGGGCCCCGGGCCTTAGAGTTGCTGCAGGTCTGGGCAAGGAAGGACAGAATTTTGGTTATCAGATCTGGGGCATGGTGGGGGAAGGGGTCATTTAGACATGACCCACGCTCCAGAAATGCAGTCTTATGTGGGAGGCAGAGACTCAAAAGAAACAAGTGGAGTACAGTGTTAGAGGGAGAGCTCAGGGGGCTGTGGGGAGCCAGCCAGGAGATCAAGGAAGACTTCCCAGAGGAGGTGGTGCTGAGCTGAGCCCTGGTGGAGGAGGAGGAAGAACAGGGAAAGGTGTTCTCGGCAGAAGGCCCAGTGTGTGCAAAGGCTTGGCAATGCAAGGAAGCACAGTGGCATGGGAGGGAGGCGGGGGAGGTGTATAAGGAGAGCGTGGGCTGAGGCAAGCCCTGTGTGCTGCGTAAAGGGTTTGGACTCACCCTGAGAGCTGTGGTGTCACAGGGTATGACCTGGAACTGCTAAAGTCCTTCCTCTGCCAGATCAAATTGACCTGGTCCCTGCCTCCAGGGGCACATAGGCTGATGTGGGAAAAGCCCGTGAAAGGTGCTGAGACAGAGGGTTAGAGGAAGCCAGAGGAGAGGCCCTCACTCAAGCTGGGGAGATCAAAGAAGGCTTCCTGGGGGAGGTCACATTGGCCCAGGGCTCTGAAAGATGAGGAGGCATTCCCCAGGCCCATAGGATAGGGAATGGCAGTCCAGCAAAAGGCACGGGGGCTGCTGTCAGCCTGTTTCTAAGTCCTGGCTGGGCCATCTCATAACTGGGTGACCCTGAACTCTCTGAGCTGGTTTCCTCCCCAGCTGATGGGTTACTGGAAGTTCTTCCTTCGTGGGACTGCTCGGATAAGATGTTTGGCCCAGCTTCAGGCTCATGGAACACTCAGTATCTGGCTTGCTGAGCCACCCCAGAGCCCTAGGTGGCCTTGCGGTCCCTGGGTGGGTTGAGGGCTACCAGAGGCCTTGGTGTGACCAGCCGCCCTACACACGCAGGCCGCTGGAGTAACATGTACAAGCTGCCCTACAACTGGATTGGCACAGGCCACGTGGTGTACCAGGGTGCCTTCTACTACAACCGCGCCTTCACCAAGAACATCATTAAGTACGACCTGCGCCAGCGCTTCGTGGCCTCCTGGGCGCTGCTGCCCGACGCCGTGTATGAGGACACCACGCCCTGGAAGTGGCGCGGCCACTCAGACATCGACTTCGCCGTGGACGAGAGCGGCCTGTGGGTCATCTACCCCGCGGTGGATGACAGTGACGGGGCCCAGCCCGAGGTGATCGTGCTGAGCCGCCTGGACCCCGGGGACCTCTCCGTGCACCGCGAGACCACGTGGAAGACGCGGCTGCGGCGGAACTCGTACGGGAACTGTTTCCTGGTGTGCGGCATCCTGTACGCCGTGGACACGTACAACCAGCGGGATGGCCAGGTGGCCTACGCCTTCGACACACACACGGGCACCGATGCCCGCCCGCAGCTGCCCTTCCTCAATGAGCACGCCTACACCACCCAGATCGACTACAACCCCAAGGAACGGGTGCTGTACGCCTGGGACAACGGCCACCAGCTCACCTACACACTCCACTTTGTGGTCTGAGCACGGACCTGTGCGCACAGGAGAGGAGCGGCAGTGGGCACAGGGGCTCTCCATAGGGACTCCATCAGCAAGTATTTACTTGGGACCAGGCCCAGGGCTAGGGGCCATGGCATATGGCGTAGCCAGCCTAAAGCTTCCTTAGCACCCAGTGGCATCATCTTGCCTCCACTTGCAGAGCACTGGGCCAAGAGCTACACGTGCACTAACCCACTCCATCCTCCCCACAGCACCCTTGGAGGTAGAGACAGTCCAGCCCACTTAACAGGTGAGGACACTGAGGCTCAGAGAGACAGCGCCCTATGCCTCAGTAGCCTCTGTTTGGAGCAGGCAGCCTGCTGTTACGACAGCCTCATTTTACAGATGAGACTGACCGTGCTGTCCCCTACATATAAACCTCTCCCTTCCCTCCTAATCTCTCTTGTTCTCGAAACACTGCCTCCCTTCCCAGGGCTTCTGAAAATCAGAGGCCCTTGGAACCGATGCACTAACGTTGGGTGGAAGCCAGGCTCTGTGTGCCACTACAGGCCCCCGTTCTGGCGGAGCTGTTGGTGGCCCTGGGCTTCGGGCCCCTTGGCTAATGTCCCTGCTCCCTGCCTTTGGGCAGCCCTCCCACCCTCCCCCACCCGCTGTCCAACCACATTCCAAACCTCCATGGTCACCCAGCCACTGAGTAGAAACCACACCCCGAGAAAAAATACCAGCCCCCCGTTCCAAGTTCCCCTCCCTCTGTACTCATTTTTATTTTCTCTTCTTCATCAGTGTTGTCATTTGTTTCTGCAGCAGCAGCTGAGAAGGCTGCAGGCAGCTGCCTGCCAGCAGCAATTCTGCCAGGGTGGGGAGCTGGGCCAGGCCCGAGGCTTCCTCTCCACCCAGAAGTGCTGTCTTTGGTCACATATCCAGGCCATGAGACCGCTCCCCAGTCCCTCCCAGAGCCTTTGGGCCTGGGGTCTACCTTGACCTTTCTCTCTGGGCCTGTCAACCCACAACCTATATACACTCAGGGATGCCTCCAGGTCTGCCATGAACAAGACCCTAGGTGTGAGGCCACGTGGGGCTGGGATGAAACAGGTTCTCTTTTCCTTGTCAGCCCTGACCTGGGCATTTGGTGGGAAGGCCCAGCAGCCAGGGGCGCTGGGGAAGGCTAAGATCAGAGCAGCCGGGTCCAGGAGAGACATTGGACTGTCTCGTCGCAGGAAACAGCCAGAGCCCCTTTTCCTGGCTTTAGAGATATTGGTGCCAGGGCTTCCCAGACACAGCACCGGGTGTGAGGACACCACGCCCTGGAAGTGGCGTGGCCACTCGGTCATCGACTTGGCAGCTGAGGCCACGCTGATGGGTCCCCCTACCTGGTGCTGCCGATGGCTCCCTGAGCCTCAGACCTGGGCAACGAGACCTTTGGGCCTGCCCATCAACTGCTTGGACAGTATTTTTAGAGCTGGGAAGAAACAGCTCTGTCCTTCACCAAAGGAGAAGTGGGCCCAGAAAGGTTTAGAGAGAGGCTCTGGGCCACACTGGGAGCAGGGTACAGCCAATTTCCTTCCAGAAGGTCTTTGTCTGTATCTCTCACTCTCCTGGCTCAGAGGCAGCTCTGTCTGGTAAGGTGATAGACTACCCAACACCCAAGCCATCCAACACCTCTGAAGGACATTTACTGCTGACCGCTACACACCCCCAGACCCTGCTCCCCCAGCCCCATGCCAGCTCTGGATGTATGTGTATTTGAACACCCAATTGCCGTGGTAGGAAATTTAGCTGCATACCTAAGAGTGTAGGGAAATGTATTTTGTGCAGAATACACTTCTTTGTATTGTCCGGCGATGTTGTATCGTCGGGCATTGTCAGGTGACGTCATTTGGTTGAAGCTGTAACTCACCCCTGAAATAAAGGAGAACGATGACGCCCAGCTGAGCGAAGCCTGACTCACAGCCTCCCCCACCCAACCATCCAGCCTCCCCCACCCAACTGTCCCCGTTCCTGCCGCAGGCGCTTGCGGGGGTGGGGGGGACTGCGTTTCCTCTGGCTTTGGGTGTGGGTTTTATAAGACTGTGTCTTCTATGATATCACAGCCCAACCATGTGAGAAGTGTTCATGCTCTTCTTTCTCCTTTAATTGAGAAGAGGGAAAGTGAGAATGGACCGATTCTGCAAAAGTAAAGGGCAAAAGCACAATTGTTGTCTGGGGAGATGATGCTGGCCGCAGCCTCCAAACACTCACTAAGCTCCTCAGGCCCTTGTATGTGGGTTATGTGGTAGGAATAGTTATTTTCCTCGTTTTTCAGGTAGTCAAACTGCAGCCCAGAGAAGTGAAGTCCCTTGTCATGCAGGTAGTTAAGCAGAGGGCCAACTTTCAAAATCAGGCGACATGACCATCTTCGTTGACTGAACATCAGCAGTGTGCGACGTGCACTTTCTTGCATCTTCACAACAGAAGGCATGGACTCTGAGTGTGTCCATTTAACAGATGAGGAAACTGAGGTGAAGGGACTTACCCAAGGTCACAGAGCAGCTTAGTCTGGCAAGGTTAGGTTTTCGGGGCTGTGTGCCACTCTAACAGCAGCTCCAAATGGAGGCCATTGCTTCTATTCATTGTGGCCAGACCAAAAACTACATCCACATATGGGACCCAAGAAAGAGGTCGGGGTCAACTGGTAAAGAGCCTCGAATGCCAAGCCAAGGAGTAACTGCCTCCAATCACATTTGGGACAAAGTCAAGTGTAAGTTAACAGAGAAAAGAAAATTCTAAGTCGATTGGATTTATACCAAAGTCCCAAACTAACTGTTGTTAGGAATCTTGTAGGCAGTCACGTTTTCTGTTTTGCTTTGGCCACTGGGAAGCTCAAAGTCAAATTTGATATTATTTTAAACAATTGTACTGAGTCTCCCACTGGACTCTGGCTTCATTGTAGCTTCCTGCTTTTACCTTTACCCCAACCTCTTTATTTTTATTCTACTATATCTATTTTTGGAAGTTGCCACAATACCTTTTTTGCAACAAGGTGGCATATATCTAAATAAATGCATGAACAAAAGCTTGATTTAAAAGTCCTGACTAAATGCCATGGTCTACAATCCTTATCTTAACACGGACATTCAATAACTTTTAAAAAACACTTAGTGTGTTATGAGACAGCCCTGTCACTCTACCGTGGCTGGAAATTGATCTGAATGATGAACTAGGGCAGAAGAATCCAAGTCAGGCTGAAAACCTGAGCCCTTCCAGTGCAGAAGAGAAGCGAGTCGTTCCCGAGGTGTCCAGGTACTGCCCTGCAGCACCCCCGCTCCTGTGCAGAGACAGGCAGCATCTATACCTGCTCCCCGAGGGAGAGAGGTGAGAGGAGAAAGAAATACATTCATGGAAAAGAGCGCCATGGCGTTGGGGAGGGGGCCTTGAGCATCGCCACTTCGTCCATGTTTCCCAAACTTGAGTCATTCACATACAGACTACCTTTGAAATCCCTTTTTTTGTGCAGCGTATTTGTTGAGTTCATCCATAAGCCAGGTTCCACATGGAAAAGTCTAGGATCATTAAGGTTGGGAGCAGATGGAATGTCCCCAGTGACTTCCTTCACTCTGCAGTTCTAAGAAAACCCAGCGACCTTCTCGGCAAGGAAAGCTGTGGCCTTTCTGCTGTCTGTGGCAATAATATTCTCACAGCACTGGACGTGACAGGCATGGAGCTCTGTACCCCATGGCAGGGTTCAAGGCCGCTCAGTGGCTGACAGGCCGGAGGCTATAGAATTCATTGGGTTTGGGGACCGCACAGAGTTCTCTCTCACCCTTACCAACTTGGCCAATGGCATCCCCTGCCAGAAAGTGCTCTGTGCCAGCTGCCGTGCCCAGTCTTCATGGCATTATCTCATTGAATCCTCCCAGTAACCCCACAACAGAGGTACCGTTGCTGTCTGTATCTTACAAATGGGGAAACTGAGGCACCAACTGCGATATCACATGTTCAGGGCTGGTGGTGGCTGAGCTGCAGCTCTATTCTCTCAAAACATCATACCAGTGGTTGCCAAGCCCGGTTCCCGTCGGGATCACTGCGGCTGTTTCACAGGCGCCTGGCCCGGGTGCTGCTGCAGGTTCTGGGGGTGGGAAGTAAGAGCTGCTCTGTTCCCAAAGCTCCCCGGGAGGTTTCGCCATGTGTTCCAAGTTGAGGGCTCCTGCCCCTCACCCTCCTGCAGCTCAGAAGGAGCACCCCAGTTGTGGGTTAGGGTAGAGCTGTCACATGCCCAGCTGCACCCAGGAAACCACTGTCTACCCCGGCTGTCCCAGAAGGGAGAGCAGAGAGAGCAAGGGTGTGTGTCAGCTATTTCTCCGCGACAGAGCAACTGCGGGTGGGGATGGGGCTCCTGGGGCCCAGAGCACAAAGGCTCCCCCTGCCCCAGGCAGTGCCCAGACGCTGCCCTGCTCTCCCAGGCCAGTCTGAACTCTGCCCACGTCTGGGGCCAGCCTCTCGACCCCCCACATTCCAGCGGGGAGCCCGTGAGGCAGGAACAGACAGGGCTTTCAGGATGCACGCCTGCGGGGGGATGAATTATTACCGAGAATTATCTGCCATGAGCACGAGGTGGCACTCCACGTGCCAAAGGTTGGCTGGCCCTGCCCTGGCCCGGGCTGCTTGGCTCCAGGGCCCTCATTCCAACTGTGCAGGGACAGAAACTTTATTCTCTTCCACAGCGAGAGGCCTCCGCCCCTCACCATCTGTGCAGCACCCCCTCGGCGGGCCCCCACCCCCCTCCCCACCCAGGGGCCAGCGCCTCCCTTCTCCGTGGCTCAGCACGGAGCGGATTAGATAAGGGTGATTCAGAAGTCAAGTTTCCCAGGTCTTTTTAAGCCTGGGATTTTTACTGACAGGAAAAGTCATTGTTACCAAGATGTCGGCCCCAACCTGTCCTGGCTTTTCTGCGTGAGGCCCTGACAAGCGCAGAGCGCTGGCGCGGCGCACAGAGCTCCTCCTGGGAGGAGCCAGGGCTTCTGGGGCTGGACCGATCCTCGGTCTGAGTCCCAGTCCTGCCACCTGCTTAAAGTCCCTGACCTCAGTTTCCTCACCTGTAAAATGGGGGCGACAACCTTGACCTTCCAGGAATATTATGATGTTGAAATCAGACAATGGGTGTGAAAAGGCTCTCAGCGGACACGTGGAGGACATACAGCAGGGTGAGGCGCAATGACCGCAAGGGGCCTTGAAGACAAATGTAGGGCCTCGCCCTGGTTCCCATCCGCGGGTCTGGGGGAGACCCAGCGTGAAGCTTAGGTTCCTGCGAAACCAGTGGCTCCCCTTACCTTCTGCAACGGAGAGCAGCGAGGTCAAGTTTCACTCACACAGCAGCCGGCTCAGACGGGTTGGTAGTGGCTGTCACTGGGAGC